AACCTTCAAGACTCAACTTAAGGTGGTAAGATTAAACTCTTTCGAAATCTTAGATCACTTCTAGGTATTCAAGAAAAGTGATAAGTTTAGGCTTATTGTTGTTCTTGTTATTCTAAAGGGTCGGTTTCACAATCTATCTCTTGTTTTTAATTCTCTACCAAAGGCAATTAGTTCTTTTTTAGCTAATTGTTGTTGTTAGGATTCAACTTCAAGAATAGACTTCTTGAATTCAAGAAACTCTTTCTTGAATTCAATCTATCTTTAATTTTCCGTTGTTTTTTTGTTTCTTTATTTTCTTTTAGCTTCCGCACGTTTCTTGATTTTCTTTAGTAATTCTTGGACCTTTATCGTGTTGTTATCAGGGAACCACTATATCTTTGTCGGCCCAGTTGCAGTCTTTTCGGACCGTAGGGAGGACCTCTTCGGTAATTGAGCAGATGTATCGCGAGGCCTCCTCACACCGACCCTGTGCAGAAGAAGGCTTCTCAACCTTAAAGTCGTCGGTGACCGAACAGCCACCGGGGATGAACATCTTCAAGGGGGGCTCTTCCGCCGGTTCATCAATGGGACGGTCTCCTCGACCTCAGTAGTCGGTCGCGAGAAAGAAGGAGCATCCTTCTGAGGAACAGATTTTGAGGTTTTTGCCATTGTTATGGAAGAAAAAGCTTGGAAAAGATGGAGAAAGAGTGAAAGTTGAAAGATCAGACTTGTTGGCTTGAGTAGGAGATGGGTAAAAGTGTTTGCAAAGTACTGAAGAACCTTGGGTAACGGGGGTAAAAATGCTAGAGAATATTGAAATCCTAAAGGTACGAAGGTAGAAGATTTGGTGTAAAGTGAAAAATGGATAGAAGAGGGCGTATTTATAGGGGTTCAACGACGTTTCACATCCAAGGACGGCCGACCGGCGGCTGACATGCATTTAATGCCATGACTGACGAGACGTTTCAGATGTTTTGTCGTTTCTGTCGCGATATGTCGAAGTAAGAATCAGGAGCTCATGTCGTTTCTCGTCATTTACTCTCCGAGAAACGAGGGAACTATCTGTATACGGGTAAAATCGGGCTCATGGTACACCCCGGTCTCCGACAAAATAAGCCAAGCTCGAGACGTGATGACAGGGGACCGAAATCAAGGCAAAAGTCTCATCGAGTCACGGTTCGAAATTGGTCTTAGCCTTGAACGACTTTGAAGAACATTGTTGGGCAATCAAGCACGACCAACGGAGGGCAGTTATATCCTTGACCGGTCGGGGATCACGGCGGGGATCTTGACACGTATCGATGAAGAATCGGCAATCAGTTAATCAGAGGATTTTTTACCTTTTATAGAGTTGTACCTCGAGTAGGATTCCCCTACTATATAAAGGGGGTCTGATAATTCATTAAAGACATGGTAACACACATTCCAAAGCAATATATTATTATTTTCTCTGTTATTAGCTCTTTACCTTGCTCATCAATGCTGGCCATAGCGAGCCCGGATCGAGGACAAATTTTTCACTAAGGCTGGAACTATCCCCTCGTGCGGTTTGAATCTGTTTTATCTTTGTTTGTTCAATTTAACTTAATCTATCGCTTTGAATCAAATTAATCCGCGTATCTTTAAAACCACTTACAAATTTAATTATTATCCGCATTTGAGGGTAAACAGAAAGTTTGCAGAAGTGCTCATCCAAATGTTAAGTCAATGGATCCAACAACTAATGACCATGAAAACCTAACATTTTGACAGCTAGTATCATGTATACAATGATAGTTTTCCAAGTAAAATTATGCTGCTCTATAAATGAAACTTTGCTTCCTCTTATCACGACAGTTTCAAAAATAAAAATCAGAGACAAGAGGACATTGAGTGCCCAATAAATATCACCCCGAGTAAACACAATGAAGCAGAGTACCTGTCTGCAGTAATCTAGCCAAACCCCATTCTCAAATACATCAAGTACACAGTATACGCCTTAAATCCACTCCAATCTGCCTTGATGTTCCACGCAATGTTGAATTCTACCAGCAGCTGAGAGTGCCTGGGTTGTTACTTTAGCAGGTTTTGTACTGTACTTCAGTTCGAACTTGGGATATCGCCTCTGATGCTCTTCTGCACTTGAAGGTGTATCCGTTAGGATTTCATTAAAGAACTCATCTGCAACATCTCCATCTTCATCTATCCTAAGACGCTTGGCATACCATCTCAATCCCTGAGCCCAGTGAAAAAAGAGATGATTAAAGATGCAAACTAGAAGCAACAAGTTATCCCAATTTCAGAACTACAAGAGCACAAAGAGGGGAAGTTTTCACCAAATTCAGACTTGATAAACAAACAAATTTTTCGAGGTCTTGGAATCAGTAAAAGAAAAAAAGTTGTTATTCATCTACACCGCTGACGAACAAAACACCGTTACTGCAGATGATTGCAAACTATCAGTGAAGCTTGATGAGTTTTTCTCGAAAAATTAACAATTTATTACCACACAACCAACGAGTTGAAATTTGTTTGCAGTACCAAAAACCCAATGAAACTCAAGGTCAACCACCCAAAAGTGCAAGACCAACAAAAAATGAGCTTAACATAAGGTGTTCTACCAGCAACAAAGGAAAAATAAAAACAAGAAATATAACAAAAATCTTCATCAAAGAAGAACCCACAGACAAGATAAACGGAGCTGTCATAAGCTTAATCTACAACATCTCAAGTGGAACTAACAATAAGGATGAAACCGCTTCTAGATAATCTCCACATCATTCCTGAACTAGAAAATCAATGTTTTTTCCAGGACCCCTGCCTCTTTTTTTTGGAGATTGGTAACAATATATTAGAAAAAGCACTAAGGCAGTGCAAAACAATATCTCCAGGGGGGATAGATCAAAACTGACCCATCAAAGTTACAAAAAGCCTAACATCAACCAAGAATTCTGTGTTCTCTACATGACTTTCTTTACACCAAAAATAAAATAAAAGAATACAATTCATCTTAATGTTCTAGAGGGGATTGTATCTGTCTTCAAAAACTCTTTAATTCCTTCTTTCCATACTGTCCACCAAATGCAAGCAGGTATTAACCTCCACCATGCCTTCTGTCTAACTAAACCTCCATTGTTATTCCAACACTCCAAAAGCTCCTCAATAGTTGCAGGCATGGTCCATTTGGGGTCCACAATGTTAAGGAACAGTTGCCACAATTGCCTAGTGATAGGACAATGCAGGAACAGGTAGCTGTTTGTTTCCAGATCTCTGCCACATAACAGACATCTAGAACATAACTGAAATCCCCTTCTTTTCAGGTTTTCTTGAGTTACGCGTACTTCTCTCGCTACCAGCCATGAGAAACAGGCCACCTTAAAATTGGAGCTTTGACTATCCATATATTCTTCCATGGCCGTCTCTCTATGTACTGGCCTGTATTTAAAAGCACAAGATAGGCAGATTTGACAGTGTAGCTCCCACTCTTGCATTTGTATCTTCATGATCAGTGAGACCATTGAAAACTTTCAAAGCTTTAAAGAAGTGAGCAATTCTCCCCATTTCCCAATCATTCAATCCTCTTCTGAAAGTGATATTCCAACCATGTTGTCCACAGGCTTCTTCCATTTTAATTTCAGGTATGGTGGCAATACCATAGAATTCTGGAAACACCTCTTTAAGTGGACCATGTCCTAATCAATAATCACTCCAAAATAAAGTCTTTCTTCCATTACCCACCTATGCTAGTGTTAACTAGAAGAGAATTCCAAAATTGCCTGATAGATTTCCAAACACCAACCCGATATGGACTATTAACAGATCTTGTGCACCACTATTCAGTCTGGCCATACTTCACACTTATTACCTTTCTCCATAAAGCATTATCTCTTAGTTGTATCTCCACAGCCACTTCAGAAGTAAACTTTGATTGTGTGCCTTGAGGTTCCTGAGTCCCAAATCCCTTGCCTTTTATGGGTGATAAATGAGTTCCAATTCACCAAATGAATAGCTCTCTTAACTCTATTACCGTGTTAGATGAAATCCCTCCTTAATGCATCAATTCTTTTTTCTGCATGAGTACCCCTGCTAAAGATTTTATTCCCTTGCCTACTGTAGATTTTTGAATTATTAGCTATTATGAAAAGTAAAACGAGATATTCAATGAGAGGAAGTGAAAGAGGTCGAAACAAATATAGTGGTAAGAGTGACAAAGAAGTCTTACGAGTAAGTTAAAATGGAAATGACATAATTTTACCTTCTCACTTCTCAGATGCTCCTCTTTTTTGTTATTCTCAAGAATCCTCACAAAATACAAATGAGAGATTCATTATGGGCTGTAAAGACAAAACTCTTAGATACCTCCCCCTATATCGGAACCAGTTGCTTTTTTTCAGACAGACGAACAGTTCACTATATGCCAAACAGAAGTGTAATACCCTGGTATTTCAATTCTATTGGAAAGCTTAAATTCATGGTTAAGAAATTATATTTATGAAGGAAATTCGATCATTTCTTTTCTTTACAATATGAGACGGCGTTAATGTCAAGATGAACGTTAAAAGACCATTTCGAACCAGTTAGATGGGTATGGTTTCCCTATGCGATAAACAGAATCCTCCGCCGAAATGGATGTGCTCCTTTGATATTAAGCTACCTTTAAAGAAGATTTTATAAGTAAGATGCTAGAGACTTCCGGCGAAACAAAAAAATAAGAGTTAATTGATTCGAATCATCCTACGAGAGGCGAGTGAAGTTGTAAAGTATGGAAAATCAAGGTTCGTGTAAAGGAAAAGTGTCTATACCTCTTTCTTTTCTATCTCTGAAGATGACGTGCCTAATGTTATTTTAAGTGAGGGAGAATGTCATAACCCAAAATGAATGAGGGTAATTACGTTATTTTAAGACAGAGAAAAACTGAAAGGGGTTATGGGATGTGGCCCCCAAGAGTTGAAAGAATAGGAAAATTTAAGGAATTGACAAGCTTCAATAAACTAGTAACGAAACATGGAGAAAAGAAATAACTGAAGTTTTGCTTTACAATTTATACACTAGCACAACATGGAGATTTTGAGTGATCCAAGGAATCCCTTTGTGAAGAAACAATGTAATTAACTTTGATATCACACAGGGCAACGAGATGGGGAAAGGCTTAGGGGTTTCGATGTTAGCAACAGTAAAGTCCAAGGTTCTTCAGTCCAAGTTATTAAGGTGCAAATACACAATTAAGGTGAGTATTTCATGGTAATTTTCGGTACATTTTGTTCATGGATTACTAGTATCAACCTTTATATACCTTAAAAGCTTTAGATTTCTTCAAAATCCATCAAGAACATCAAGGAGGTGAATTTCTAGGGTTTACTTCAAAAGGTAATTTTCACCCTTTACACTTGACGAATTAAATCTTTTTTATGATTAAATACATCTATTGAGAGTTATATTGGAGAAACATGAGGACTCTAGTTGCTGGCATTACATTGTTGTTGCAACTTTAAGGGAATTAAATTCAGTGATTCAATTATCTAACACATGATCAAGGGGATATATGTAGAGTCTTAAGAGGGCAAATAATGTAATGAGCTCAACAAGTCAAGTGGAAAAATAGTGCAATTGGGTCAAGCCCTTAAGATACCATCAAGGGCATAAAGTGCTGGTGGAGGAGACAATTAAATTTCAGCAGAAGTTTTCTAGAGTTGAATAGGTATTTAAATAGAAATTTAATTTGTTGGCGAATCTCACTTTAGTCTTAAAGGATGCTAGGGTCTCAGTTAGTGATTCAAAAAGGACTTCTTGAGATTTTGGAAACGAAAGCTTTACTAACTTGCTTGTATTTTCATATAGCAAGCAACTGAGTATATAATCTGATTTCTATGTGCTTAGCAATCAGTTGCGTGAAAGAGATTTTTGATTCACAAATCATAGCACGAAATAATAAAACCATTGTAGCATCGAATTGTAGCGAAGAAGAAGAGTTTACAGCGAAGACAGTGAATGCACGGGATGGCTTGATAGATGTGAGAAGTCAAGTTTAAACTTGGTAGCTTCTAGGTAAGTTTTAAGGTTCTCTCTCCTAATAAGGAATTCCATTAGCACCCACGTGCTATATGTATTCGATGAAATTCCTAAGCCATGTCTTCTTGCACTCTAGAACTCAATTCACTCCATTCTTAATCTGTATGACTTTATATGAAAATGTGACAGTATTGTATACTTGTGTGTATCACCACTTGTTATGATGACTTTGTTTGTGATATTCACATTCATTCTAGCATTCAGTTTAAGCATTCATTCATGCATTAATGTTATAACATTCAAACGGGAGAGTTAGCCGACATCCCCTTGCGGGAGTGCTATAAGGGCCAGGGTTAGCAACCCCACGCTTGTATGCGCTATTTGTTTGTTGGGGAGATAGGCTGACACTCCCCCATAGGTGCTGCCAGATCTCACGTATGCAAGGCCACTATGTGCAATTATTTTTTTATTGGAAAAATAACTTAGCTTTCAACTTTAATTTCAGTTATCAATTATAGACTCAGTTTCCAAGTTCAATTTTAGTTATCAGTCCATAGTTCAGCTTATAGTTTCAGTTTTCAGCTCATTACCTGTTTACAGATTTTAAATGATTTATATGATATCGTGTGAACCTGCTTACTTTCATATTATGATTTTTCCGAGAAGGTCTCACTCCACCTTTTTTTAGGAGGTAGCCTATGAGACTTACTGGTATTCATTGGTGGTACTTAGCTCGTTAGGACCTGCCACATCGTGTGGCAGGCAGTGTTATGAATTGCGAGCGCCTCAACGCTTATAGCATGAGGCAAGAAGCAGGGCACTGTTGCCTTTTTTGATAGAGGCAAGGCGTTTTGAAAAAATTGAGCGCTTATCCGAGAAGTATTGAGGCGCAGTGAAGCAGGAGAAGTGATGTTTTTCCTTAAAAAAAATTAAAAGACGAGGTCTTAAAAGCAAAAAAACGAGATCAGATCTTTAGGGTTTGCTTTTACTCCTCTTAGGAAGCAAAGAACGACTTCTTTTTCAACTTGGAAGCTCTTCTTCATCAAGGATCAAACTTAAGGTTTTCAAGTACCTTTTCTTCTCCTTTCTTCTTCTTTTACTTCTTTTTTGTTCTACTTTCTTTTTCTTTCTTCTGTGCTTCAACATCAGTTTTCTTCTACTCCTTTTTTCTTTCTTTTTTTTTCTTTTTCCGGTAGCGTCATCATTCATCTTTTTCAGGCAGTATCA